CTTTTTCTTTTCAAAGAAAAGAATATATTCAATTATCTATGCAAAAATAGAAAAAAAATGCTGACATTCTCTATTGACACTAGAAAAACAAACAGTAAGATCATTTTAAATGTACCATTGCTAGGAATATCAGTTTTCCTCTGCACAGCATCAGATAATAAGTATTTTATTATGTATTATGTACAAAGTATGTGTACATATATACACACATATATGCGTATCTATACATATACATATATACATATGTACGTACATATAATACAATAACAGATATCAGTTGTTGACTGAGTGTCAAATCAAAGTGGTAATTATAAGTGCCTGTATATTCTTCTTTATAAGTATAGCCATGTTATAATTTGATTATCTTTTCTTAAAGTTACTCTCAGCTGATATTTTTAAATTTTTATTTATTTTTATTTTAAAATATTTAATTTATTTATTCATGAGAGACACAGAAAGAGAGGCAGAGACACAGGCAGAGGAAGAAGCAGGCTCCCTGCGGGGAGCCCGATGTGGGACTCGATCCCAGAACTCCAGGATCATGCCCTGAGTGGAAGGCAGATGCTCAACCACTGAGCCACCCAGGCGTCTCTCTTTTTTTTATTTTTAAGTAACCTCTACACCCAGCATGGGGCTTGAACTCACATCCCTGAGATCAAGAGTCACATGCTCTACCGACTGAGCCAGCCAGGTGCCTCTATAATTTGATTCTTATATGGCCAACATATTCTTTAACTTTAGACAGATGGCTATATACTTTGACAAACATTAACCAACAAAGTTATACCTCAATCACCTCAAGGATTTTCTCCATCAAGAAAAGAAAAAAAGTGGAGGGAGTGGGAATAAAGGGTAAGAGTCATCTTATTTTGCAGATTTGCAGCATAAAAGGATATTTTTTATAATGATGATTTATTCTTTGCTTTTTTAAAAAATTCTTTGCTTTTTTTAATTGGAGTTCAATTTGCCAACATAAAGCATAACACCCAGTGCTCATCCCATCAAGTGCCCCCCTCAGTGCCCGTCACCCAGTCACCCCCACCTCCTGCCCCCTCCCTTTCCACCACCCCTTGTTTGTTTCCCAGAGTTAGGAGATTTGAAGGCAAAAAGGTTATATGGAAGAACTTTTCTAAACTTTCTGGGCAATTGACATAGTATATACATCAGTCTCTCCTGCAATTTCCTTGAAAATGTATTTACTTTGTTAAAGCAAAGTCTTTTGGTTGTTATTTTAGAAGGTTTAAGAGCCAGCCAAGGGAATTATGAGATCATTTTTTTGTATTACATGGCTATTAACTTATTGAAAGAGAAAAGGGATTTTCCAGATATACTGAAGTCCCCTATAATTAATTTACTTCAAAGCCTACTTCAAGGAGATGAACTAGAGTGAACCCAAACAGTAAACTCAGCAAAATGAATGGCATAAATAGGAAAAAAGGAGATTTCTGTTTCCAGCTCTGATAGTTGAAAGACGCCCTCTTACTGTAAATAATGGGACAAAATGTATTGAACAACTGTTTTCAGAAACTGGGCAACAAACAGTGGAGGACTATAATCCCTGGAAAAAAGGAAATAAATGAGGTGAACCATAGAATCTCTCTGACCTCCTTATAGACATTTTCTAGAATGCAGCCCAGGAAGGAGAATCTAGGCAAAACACAGCATTTTCTCTAAGTTGAGGAGAACAAGCAGAGTTTAGGGGGAATGAGGTGGCTGGAATATGGGAGGCTGAGTGCCAGGGAGGAGGCAACTCTAGAGATAAAATGCCTCAGAAATGTGCAAGGGGTTCCCTTGAAGTTTGTCTTCAAATCCCCAGTTATGGATATGGACGACAAACTTCCTTGAAGTCAGGCAAAGCCTGGTCAGAGTCTGTTACTATATACTTAACCACACATGCATGGGATAAAACCTCAAGGGCTGAGGCAAAACATAATTAGAGAAATAGATGCTAAAAAGTTGCTGAAGCTCATACAGAGCTGGGGGATGTTTAAGTTTTGACCAGCCAGAATGCAGAGTCCTCACTGGGGCTTTCAGTAGAAACTCGGGAGAGTTTTGCCTCATAGTGTGGCAAAACTAGCCCTGAACTAAAGACTACCTTAGACTTGACCTAACAAGGCTTAAAAACAAGTCTTATGTATTGACCTGATATATAAATAACTTTCAATCAAATCAAAGTCCAATAACATTTAAAGGAAGCAAGGAAATCTAGTATTAAATATGCATACTCTACAAGGTCCAGCATCCAATACAAAATCACTAGGCATGCAAAGAAGAAAAATATGACCCATAGCTATGGTAGAAAACAACGAACAGTAAATAGTAGCCAGACTTGATGATGGCTCTCAATTGTCATCACCTTCTGATATTTATACCCATTAGTCTCCTTGCATATTGAGTTGGAAATTAGTTGGTATGACCAGTAGAGTTAGCATTAGAGGTGCTCCTGAGTGACATTCTAGGCTGGGACAAAGGACAGTTGGATTCCTTGTTCTGGGAGAAGCCAGCAGCTACATGATGAGCAGCCCTGTAATGAAGCCCAGATGGAGAGGAACGGAGGCCTTTAAAAAAAATAGGCAACTCAGCTTGCCAATCCCATGAGTTAACCACCTTTTAAGTGGATCTTCTTCCCTCCCAAGCCTTCAGATAGATGCATCCCCAGCTGATGTCTAAATCTCACAATATTACAAGATAGCACATCCCATCAAAGCCCCAATTCCTTAACCACAGAAAATATGAAAGACAATAAATTTGTGTTTTTTTGAAAGACAATAAATTTAATGATTGTTTTCTGCTGCTGAGTTTTGAGATAATCTGTTGGGGAAAAATAGAGAATTAACATAGACTTTGGTACTGCTACTATAACAAAATCCAAAACATGCAGGAGTATCTTTGGGACTGAGTAAGTAGAGAAAAGCTAGAACATCTTGAGATTTTTAGCAAAAGGCAAAAGGCCTTGAAGTAGCTATTAACAACCTTGTGGCCCTTGAAGAGGCTGCCATGGAGGCTGTCAGGTAGGTGAGAATATGACTGGAGACTGGTAAAAAGAGAATCCCTCGTATATGGTGGCAAAAAATTGAGAGGCACTGTTTCACGTGGTGTCATAGGAACTAGAAAAGGCACTGAATCAGCAGGATGGTTAAACTAAAGAATATTTTCGGGCAGGATATGGAATGTGCAATCTAGCTTCTTTTTGCAGTTTATTGCATGATGTAAAGGAGAGAGGGAGAGAGAGAAGTTAAAGAAAAAGTTGTTGAACATGAGGAACTGCTAGGTTTGAAAGTTCCCAGCCTCTTAAAACAATGCTAAATTTTAGAAATGGTTCTAGGAAAAGATAAAATTCAGGAACTGTTAGGAAAGCATGGTCTAAAGATGAAACCAGGCATGGAAGGGATTGATGTCATCAAGATGGCAATGCAGGTGGTTCCCAACATCAGTCCTCCTCACAAGGACAGCTAGCAACTATCCATCGGCAAGACACCATTTGAAAATCCTAGAATGGGAGTAGGGCTGAGAAAACCCCCTCGAACACAGAGACTAAAAAGGATTGCATTAGAAGGGCAAGAAGAGCAATTATACTGATTGCATCACGCTCCCCAGACCAGCACAATGATGCATTGAGAGGTTCCCCCCTCCCCCCCGCCAGGCCTATGGTTTCTCCAGTGGGAAAAAGGAGAGAGCTCAGGAAGAACATCTAGCTCATCAAGCATTGTGGGATGCTTCCTGGGAGATCCACTTGGGTCTTGCCTCACAAGGATCATAGAGGAAATCTGGGGGTTTCAATCCCTGGGAATCAGATTGAGATGGAGGAGTTGGGGTAGGGTTTATAGCAACTAGTGCCCAGATCTTGGCTGACAGCATTCTTCCTTGCAGGAGTGACCAAGTAGATACTAGAGCCAGTGGCTCTGCCCATCTGCAGAGCTGAGTTGGTGGCTCTGTGTGGCCAGGGAGCAGCTCAGCTTGATTTAAGTCCACAGCAAATGAGCCATACACACCTTGGAGCTTGTTCAGTCCTTCTGCCTTGGCAGGGAAGCAAGCTCAAAGCCCTGGCGAATGCTGCCTATAGCCCTCTGTCTTGCCAAGACAGGAGGCCTAACCAGAGTGCCTGGGGAGCTGCACAGACAATCCTACAGCCCCAACTATGGGAGCAGCTGCACAGAGAGGCCAGCCAGTGCTATGCTGATCTCAGAGCCGAGCCGGTGGCCTATTGGGCCAGGGAGCTTGGTGGCAAGTTCTGCCCAATTCACATACCTATCCAGCTCATCATACCAGCTTGGATCCTGTTCTCCCACTACATCCAGGCAGGAAAGTGAATTCACAGCCAGTGTAATGCAGAAGAGAGCCCATAGTCCCCCTGCCCCAGCCTGGAAGCCTGATCAGGGAACCCAAGGAGCTGTGCTTAGCTCACTGGAGATGCACTACACGCGCTACATACGCTACGTGAGCTACATGCGCTAACCCAGGAGCCAGCTTAGCTCACAAGAGATGAGAAGGATATGTGATTGGAGAGGGCTAGACATTTTTTTAGTGTTTTATTCCACTAATTTTGCAACACAATTCTTTCATTCCTCCTCCTCCCCTTCCTTTTTGTTTAAGAGATGTGGTTTGGTCTCCAGAATAATGGAATTAAGAGATAATTTATTAGAGTTACTCACTCATTAGTGTTCAAGTCCCTTTACCTCCTGGGGTCATCTTTCTCCTCTTCCAATCTATGTCCAGGTCTAATAGTCTCAAGGAACAGGGCTGATTCCCTGCTTGGCTCTTGTGTTCAGCTGTGCCCTGACACCCAGAGCACTTCCAGAAACTGCCCTGATTCTGGTCTCCACTTGGTTTGGGCCCCCTGATCTGATGTCCAGAGTACTTGTGAACTAGGTCCGGATGTTTGGTTTGGATCTGGCCCGTGTCTCCACACTACCTTTTCTTCTGGAGCTCATCCAACCCTTCCCTTGAGGATCCCAGCTGCTCTGACCCCAGTGCTGACTGATTACTGCTGACAACCCCTCTCAAGTTGACAAGCAGTCCTGCCCCCACCTCCAACTCCCCTTCTGGCTCCAGTATGGCTCCCAATTCCAGCCTGGCTCTTGGTTCCAGGCTTCATCCTGGGTAGTAATCACATTCTTCTCAGGAGCAACCTTAGAGAGAATAAGACTCATTTCCCAGAAGGTAAGGATATTCTCAAACTCAAGCATAGGTTAGAAAGCAGATACTTGTCAGAGTGCCCATCTCCACCCCACCTGACGGTTTCCTGGAGAAATTCTAAGGATGTCCGTTTGAGCTCAGGTTGCTCATGACTGGATCCTAGCAGCTTCCGTGGAGATCCGGTGGTTTGAGCAAAATTTGTTTGTGGTGTGCCTGTCCTTTCAGGAGTTCAGTTAATACAATAAACGCTTCTTAAGGGTGCATAAAATACATATGTATTCTACAGGACTCAGGTTTTTTTAAAAAAGATTTTATTTATTCATGATAGACAGAGAGAGAGAGGCAGAGACACAGGCAGAGGGAGAAGCAGGCTCCATGCAGGGAGCACGATGTGGGACTCGATCCTGGATCGACAGGATCATGCCCTGGGCCAAAGGCGGGTGCTAAACTACTGAGCCACCCAGGGATCCCCCAGGACTCACATTTTGCTGGCGGAATTTGGCTTGTTCACAGACATGCACAAGTTCTAACTGGCAGTTTTCGCCTTTCAGGGGACCATCCAGTAGCACAGTTCTCACATAAGGCTGTTGTGAACCTGGTACACCTTATTTAGTTATTTTTATTCTCTAATTACTAAAGTAATTGGTGCATACATTCTCCTTGGAAAAAGTTAGAGGGTGTTCATCCTTACAAACCCTTTCTATGCATTTACACATTTCAAAATATGTACAAGTGTAGGGTTTTCATAACTGTTATATACCATTTGTGCATGCAAAATACATTTTTCATCTAATACATCAAAGGATCTTAACATGTCCATGCATATAGATATCTTAGTATTTTGAACTGCTCTATAATTTTCCAGTGTATGAGCAAAACATAAGTTAATCATAACCCTATTGATAGATCTGTGGGCTGTTTTCAGTCTTTTCTGTTATAAACAATGCTAGGTTAATGAATTTTTTTATTCAGAGTGCAAGAACTGTATCAGTGAGAAAAATTTTTAGAAGTATTTACTGAGCCAAAGGATAGCTCCTTTTAAATCTCTAGAGCTATTGATAAATATTCTTAGAAGTTTATTGATTTACACCCTCAAAAGGAGAGTATGAGGTTTTATTTTGCCATGGACTATCCCAGAATGTCAGAAAGTCATTTGATTTGTGCCAGTGGTATCTTATTTTGGTTTTATATTTAAATTATTGCTTAGAACAATCATATTTCTTCTTTGGGTGAAGCATCATCTTGTGTGTTTTTCTGGTTTACCTTTTGGACTGTTGGGATTTTTTCCCTTGATTTAAAAGCACCATTCATATATTAAGGAAAATTACTTTTACCTATGTTTTGAGTCATGAGCTCTTCCCTCCATCCTCTCACCCCTGCCACTTTTGCTGGTTGTAGGTGAATTAAATAATGCTTTGCTTTTATGAGTTCTGGATTTTGTGTCATAATAGACAGACTTTTCCTTTTCTGTGATGATAATTATCTATTTCATAAAAAAATAAATAATCATCTGGAGTTTATTTTTGTGTAGCATAAGAGGTTAAGAATCAACGACACTGAGTGCTTGCTGTCAACCAAAAATGGTGCTATCTTTCCATAACATGGTATGGCAATTGAAACATGGCTGTCCACTCAAGGACTACATTTTCTAGTCCCTTTGCCCTACATGCATAGTCATGTGGCCTGTAATCAAGTACAGAATATAACAAGAAGTAATGTGTTTTACCTTATTGGCCAAGACCTTAAGAAGTTCTCTGTTCTGTCTGCCATCAAGACATATGCAACAGAGGAACCCATTTAACACTATAAGTTGCCAGGAATCTGGGTCCTTGAACTATTGTAGTCAAGATGCCTAACACTGACCAGGAACATCTACTGTGATTCTTACATGAATGAGAAATATACTTGCATTGGAATAAGCCACTAAAATGTTGGGGTTTATTATTAAAGTGGCTAGTAAGGCTTTACCAATAAAGCATCTAATGAAGAGATAGCTGTCCCTAACCACTCATGTCTGAGCACACTTCATTTTATTCAGTGAGCAATATGCCAACTGTCAGTAAAAATGAAGTGTTAGTTCCATAGTGTCTGTAGAGGATCTGGAAGGGAGGTGGTTTATCAGTGGGTGACTTTCAGAGTTAAACACATGTTAAAGTGAGTATTCTATTCAGTGCACCTGTGTCATCCACATCACTAGACCAGACCGTGGCAGAATCTGAAAGTAAAAAGCAGAGGTATATCAAACAATCCAGGCTTATTTTAATTCAACTGTTAATAATAATAGTTCATTTAAAATAAGACATCCAAATTTATATTAGGTGGTATACCAGGACAACAGTGGAAAATGAGTTTTGGCTGCTGAAGATAGAGTTAACAATCACACAGAAAACTTAATGACCTATACTAAGCAAAATAGGCTTCATTTCTAAATATTAATGGATGATCAAAGATTATATCTGAGGAATACCTGTAGAAGGAACAGATGAGCTAATAAAATACCTAACATAAGTGAACAACAAATATTTGGTGATTAAGCTGAAGTTGAATTTAAAAATATTCAAGAATGACAGTATGTTCTGTCCAACATCAGCCAGATTTTTCAAATGCTTGACTCTTTGAAAATCTACTTTGAAAATCAATCTAGGTCCTACAATGGTATTGGACTAGTTTGTGAATGAATCCTCTATTTGTTCTTATTGCAATTTATTCAAAATCAGATGTGAATCCTTAATCAAGTGTTCAATGAAGACCACAGAAACTTAAAGTTTTGAAACCCTTAGTAAATTGGAATTATTGAAAACAAAGTGTGTGAATAGGAAGCCATTGAATTTGTCACTACAAAAGTGAGGAAGGAAATGGACAAATCAAAAAGGAGAGCTCAAACAGTGTACCTGATTTAATTTTGCAATTTTACAATTGTGCTTTGTAGTTTCTTAACCTGAGAGAATTTTTTAATGAGCTCCCATTTTGGGGATAAACTTACATTCTGTAATGAATGGAATGAAAGTGAAAAGACCTATTATTTTGCAGCATCTCTGGTTGGTTTGCCAAATATTCAAGATAATCAGATATAGTGAGAATTTATTTGATGAATTTTGTGTTATAAAATATTTGTCTAAGGGAGGAGGGGCAAGATGACGGAAGAGTAAGGTCCCCAAGTCACCTGTCCCCACCAACTTAACTAGATAACTTTCAAATCATCCTGAAAACCTACGAATTCAGCCTGAGATTTAAAGAGAGAACAGCTGGAATGCTACAGTGAGAAGAGTTTGTGCTTCTATCAAGGTAGGAAGATGGAAAAAATAAAGAAATAAAAAGCATCCAAGGGGGAGGGACCCCCGCGAGGAGCCGGGCAAAGGCCTTGCAGTGAGGGCCCCCAGGACAGGAAAGCCCACTCCTGGAGAAGCAGAAACTTTACCAATCTTCCTGGAAGGAAAGGGGCTCGCAGGGAGCTCGGGCAGGATCCCAGGAGGGGCGGGGGTGCCCTCAGGCTCCCAGAGGCACTAAAAGAGCAACTGCACTCTGGGGGAGAGCCCTCCACACACTGCGGGCGGAGCCCCCTAAAGGGCTGGACTCCTTGCTCAGCGGGGCCCCAGGAGCAGCTCAGGTGGCGGCCACTGCGTGCTCCGGAAGTGTGATTCCAGCGGTGCAGACCCCAGAGCCCAGGGCGCCGAGGACACAGCCCAGGATCTGGCGCTCCCCCCGGGACAGGTGGAGGCCTGGAGGACACAGGGCAGCAAGGAGACTCCTGCCGCTGGGGGGCCCGAACTGTGCAGATCGGCATCCCCCGCCCCCGGAGCATCCAGGCCCTTGGGGACTGGGAGTTGCGGTAGTTACTGCAGAGCTGACTCTAGACCTGGAGAGCTGGCCGCTGCCACTGTTGTTCCTCCTGCTGTCACCTTTTCCTGGGACTGGGCCTCACAGGATAAACAGCTTGTACTGAGCCCTGCACCAGGCAGGGGGCAGGGCAGCTCCCCCAGGTGCACACACCTGAGAATCACCGCAGCAGTCCCCTCCCCCAGAAGACCAGCTGGAAGGACAGGGGAAAAGCAAGTTATTGACCAAAGAGCGCTAGAAAGTTCCAGGGGAACTCCAGGTATTTACAGTATATAGAATCAGAGGATACTCCCCCTTGTTTTTTGTTTTCTGTTTGCTTCTGTCCCCTCCTTTTTTTCTCTTCTTTTCTTCTTCTTCTTTTTTCTTTTTTTTCTCTTCTCTCTTTTTCCCCTTTTCCCAGTACAATTGTTTTTGGCCACTCTGCACTGAGAAAATGACTAGAAGGAAAAACTCACCTCAAAAGAAAGAATCAGAAACAGTCCTCTCTCCCACAGAGTTACAAAATTTGGATTACAATTCAATGTCAGAAAGCCAATTCATAAGCACTATTATAAAGCTACTGGTGGCTCTAGAAAAAAGCATAAAGGACTCAAGAGACTTCATGACTGCAGAATTTAGATCTAATCAGGCAGACATTAAAAATATTTGTCTAAGAATGATAATCTCGGGCAGCCCAGGTAGCTCAGTGGTTTAGCACCGCCTTCAGGTGGGGAGTGATCCTGGAGACCTGGATCGAGCCCCACCTCAGGCTCTCTGCATGGAGCCTGCTTCTCCCTCTGCCTGTGTCTCTGCCTCTCTCTCTCTCTCTCTCTGTGTCTCTCATGAATAAATAAATAAAATCTTAAGAAAAAATAAGAGTGATAATCTCAATGAAATAAAAAGGGATAGAAATGATTAACATATATTGACTGAAATGCTTAAATCCATACACAGAAGCATAATTAATAATCTCCCATAGTATAATATTCCTGAGCTTACCAGGAAGCTCACCAGATGTAGAGAGACTGTTTTTTCAATAATATATGGGCTATAGAGAAGAGTCTATTGAGGGAGTCAACAAATTAATTAATGATAAAATGCAAACTTGAAGAATATTACAACTTTATCCACTAACTAAAAATAGCAAGAACATATTTCTAATCTCCAGAAGGAGAGGGTAGAGACAATATAGAGAAAAACATTTGAAGAAATAAAGGCTAAAATATTTCCAAATATAATGGAAAACATCAAGCAACAGATCCTAAAAGCTTAAGATACCCAAGAAAGTTGAATAGAAGTACTAGCCAATAGGATCCAACAGAATATTAAGAAGATTATTCATCACGACCAAGTGGGATTTATCCCTGGGATGCAAGAGTGGTTCAATACTCATAAAACAATCACATGATAGATCACATCAACAAGAGAAAAAACAAAAACCATATGATCCTCTCAATAGATGCAGGGAAAGTATTTGACAAAATACAGCATCCACTCCTGATCCAAACTTTTCAGAGTGTAAGGATAGAGGGAACATTCTTCAGCATCTTAAAAGCCACCTATGAAAAGCCCACCGCAAATATCATTCTCAGTGGGGAAACACTGGGAACCTTTCCCCTAAGATCAGGAACAAGATAAGGATGTCCACTCTCACCACTGCTATTCACCACAGTACTAGAAATCCAAGCCTCAGCAATCAGGCAACAAAAAGAAATAAAAGGCATTCAAATTGGCAAAGAAGAAGTCAAACTCTCCCTCTTTGCAGATGACATGATACTGTACTTAGAAAATCCAAAGACTCCACCCCAAGATTGCTAGAACTCACACAGCAGTTCAGCAGTGTGGCAGGATGCAAAATCAATGCCCAGAAATCAGTGGCATTTCTATACACTAACAATGAGACTGAAGAAAGAGAAAGTAAGGAGTCAGTCCCATTTACAATTGCACCCAAAAGCATAAGATACCTAGGAATAAACTTAACCAAAGAGGTAAAGGATCTATACCCTCAAAACTATAGAATGCTTCTGAAAGAAATTGAGGAAGCCACAAAGAGATGGAAAAATATTCCAAGCTCATGGATTGGAAGAATTAATATTGTGAAAATGTCTAAGCTAACCTAGGGCAATTTACACGTTCAGTGCAAGCCCTATCCAAATACCACAGACTTTCTTCAGAGAGTTGGAACAAATCATCGGAAGATTTGTGTGGAATCAGAAAAGACCCCAAATAGCCAGGGGAATACTGAAAAAGAAAACCGGAACCGGGAGCATCACAATACCGGATTTCAGGTTGTACTACAAAGCTGTGGTCATCAAGATAGTGAGGTACTGGCACAAAAACTGACACATAGATCAATGGAATGGAATAGAGAACCCAGAAATGGGCCCTCAACTCCATGGTCAACTCATATTCAACACAGCAGGAAAGACTCTCTGTGGGGAAAAGGACAGTCTCTTCAGTAAATGGTGCTGGAAAAACTGGATAGCCATGTGCAGAAGAATGAAACTAGACCATTCTTTTACACCATACACAAAGATAAACTCAAAATGGTTGAGATCTAAATGTGAGACAGGAATCCACAGAATTCTAGAGGAGAACACAGGCAACACCCTTTTTGAACTTGGCCACAGCAACTTCTTGCAAGATACATCTATGAAGGCAAGGGAAACAAAAGCAAAAATGAATTATTGGACTTCATCGAGATAAAAAGCTTCTGCATAGCCAAAGAAACAGTCAACAAAACTAAAAGACAAAACTACAGAATGGGAGAAGTTATTTGCAAATGACATATCAGATAAAGGGCTAGTATCCAAGATGTGTAAAGAACTTATTAAACTCAACACTTAAGACACAAACAATCCATTCATGAAATGGGCAAACGACATAAACAGACATCTCACAGAGGATGACACAGACATGGCCAACAAGCACATGAGAAAATGCTCCTCATCACTGGCCATCAGGGAAATACAAATCAAAACCACAATGAGATACCACCTCACACCAGTGAGAATGGGGAAAATTAACAAGGCAGGAAACAACAAATACTGGAGAAGATGTGGAGAAAGGGGAACCCTCTTGCACTGTTGGTGGGAATGTGAACTGGTACAGACACTCTGGAAAACTGTGTGGAGGAGGGTCCTCAAAGAGTTAAAAATAGAACTGCCCTACACCCAGCAATTGCACTGTTGGGATTTACCCCAAAGATACGGATGCAGTGAAATGGCAGGACACCTGCACCCTGATGTTTCTAACAGCAATGTCCACAATAGTCAAACTGTGGTAGGAGCCTCAGCGTCCATTAACAGATGAATGGATATAGAGGATGTGGTCTATGTATACAATGGAATATTACTCAGCCATTAGAAAGGACAAATACCCACCATTTGCTTCCACGTGGATGGAACTGGAGGGTATTATGCTGAGTGAAGTAAATCAATCGGAGAAGGACAAACATTATATGGTCTCATTCATTTGGGGAATATAAAAATTAGTGAAAGAGAATAAAAGGGAAAGGAGACAAAATGAGTGGGAAATATCAGTGAGGATGACAGAACGTGAGAGACTCCTAGCTCTTGGAAACGAACAAGGGGTGTTGTTGGAAAGGGAGATGGGTGGAGGGTTGGGGTGACTGGGTGACGGGCACTGAGGGGGGCACTTGACAGGATGAGCATTGGGTGTTATGCTCCATATTGGCAAATCGAACTCCAATAAAAAATATACACAAAAAAACCTTTAAAAACTTCAATTTATCAAAATACACCATTAAAAAATGCATATAAACCTCCAGTCTTGGAGAATAAATAATTAGTTGTACTTTTACATAGTAATGAAATAGGAAGTACAATGAAAATAATATTCATTTATATTATAATAAATAAAATACTTGAACTCCAGGCATAAACATCTACCAATGAAACAAAAGGAAAAAATAATTGGAAAGTCATACCTTATGCTTGATTGTACAGACTACAATAAAGATGACAACATTTCCTAATTTAGTAAAGATATTTTAATGTAAGACTAATTAACTTTTCTCAGGATATTTTAAATTACATTTTATTTTTTTTATTTTTTTTTTATTTTTTTTTTTTATTTATTTATGATAGGCACACAGTGAGAGAGAGAGAGAGGCAGAGACACAGGCAGAGGGAGAAGCAGGCTCCATACACCGGGAGCCCGACGTGGGACTCGATCCGGGGTCTCCAGGATCGCGCCCTGGGCCAAAGGCAGGCGCCAAACCGCTGCGCCACCCAGGGATCCCTAAATTACATTTTAAAATGGGATTTCCAAGCCAAGGAAACGTGCCTTTGTTTTTAGTTTATTGACTATTTCTAATAGTGCATTTTTATCAGATTGGATTGTGGCAATCAGGAATTTTATAATTGGTGTTTGATTTGTTAGTGTATATTCAAACAAACCTTCAAAAAAAAGGTTAAGAATACTGGGATAAAAATTAGGCCATGAGCAGCCCCAAATAGCATAACAAGAAACATAATCTTAAAAAATGTCCTGAAGATGTATGCTTTAGCTACAGATAAAACACACACCCCTATTACTGTTGAAAGTGCACTTTGTAACACTGGGTAGCCTAGCAGATACAATGTCTCAATTGTTTTTTGGTTTACTGAGGGCTTAGAACTGGAAACAAATGCATAAGAAATGTGTGCAGAAAAACAAAAGAAAACCCTATACAAATAACAAGATTAATCATGGATATGTAATCAAGATTGACATTCCAGAATGCCATGAAACCTGTTACTCCCACAATCACAGAAGCAATAGCAAAAGTTACCCACAAGGAACACAGTGGATGAGCAATTAACAATAAGGAAACAATGAACATAGCAGCTGACGCAACAATGACATTTCGAACAGTGTTTTCCAATATTGCAGTGTACTGATCAAAATATATGAATGCCTGGTTATACACCATTAGTGGAATTTCGCATTTTTCAGCTCTGCTTCGTAATTGGAATAACATCTTCTTCTTATTGGTTGAAGAAGAAACATCCACAGTCTGAATGAAGCTCCGGGAAAAAATGATTTCATTTGATGATGAAATATTAATATCATACCTAAAAAGTGGAAAATTTGTTAAAAAAGGAGGCAAACTATTCATAAATGTATCCTTATCATTTACATTTTGTCTGCTGTTTTCAATATATTGCACATATTCTCATAACCAAAATTCTGTAAGATTTTTATCGACATAGTCACTGTTTTCCAAATTTGCCAGACATTTTCCCAGCTTTTGCCTAGCATCTTCATCCCAGGAGTCAAAAGTTTCAGTAAAAATAACCATAACCCTTGGATCAAACTCTGACAAATAGTCTTCTTCTACATTAAAATATGGTGTGATGTAGGAATCATCACTTGCCAAATTTTGAAGGTCTAAACCTTCCTGTACTTGGAAACAACCATAAATACTAAATATGATGTACAAAATGTATATAAACACTACAAAAATTTGGACCCAGTGCATGTGAGAAAAGGGCCAAAATAGTCTCGAAAGAACAAATTCATTGGATGGGTATCAGTTTCTTGTTCATGTGGGAGAGAATCACATGGGAGACAGCAGGATCTTTTTAATGAAAAACATTTTTGGTCAAGAGTTTCTGGCTTTTTCAACCAGTGTACACAGACTATTTCTCTTTTACCATCCAGGGCCATAAGTGCTCCAAAACAGGTGATGTTATAAAAATAACAAAAAAGCAAGGTTGTTTCTGTATAGATGCAAAAGTAATGTACAGACCTGAAAGAGGTCATAATCCCTGTATAGAAGGCCAGGACTTTGGAAACAGTGGTAATTGTTATAGACACCGCCACCTTGGAATAGACAGTGAACAGCCGCTGGCTCATGCTGTCCTTGGCGCTGGTCTTCTGCCAGGCAGAAATCATTATAAACATATCATCCATCCCAACACCTGTTAAAAAAAAACCAACAATCTTTATATGTATTAATATCTGTTAAACATTAGACACATAAGCTCAAACCTTCCTCTCTGTCCAACTCTTAAGGTCTTATTTATCTTGCCCAGTCTGTGCTTTGGTACTACTTTCTCTGTTGCTTTCTCTGATTGACTCTGAATCCACAACAGTATTCATCCCTTCCTCTGTGATAACTCTGTGCTTTGAACACACTCCCATTATCTGTACATAGCCCGGATACTCTGAGTCTTCATTTAGGGTATATTATTTATTTTTAGTTTTTTAAAAAGATTTTATTTTACTGATTTGACAGAGAGAGAGAGAGAGAGAGAGAGAGAGAGAGAGAGAGAGACAGCCACGAGCAGAGGGAGCACAAGCAGAGGGAGTGGCAGACAGAGCAAAGCAGGATTAGCAATGGATTTTGATTCCACCTGGATTACTTGAGGGATCATTTTCTCTCATAAACCGTTTTACACAAATGCACAAACACATCAAGCCAACATTCTGTTGCTTGAAATAGAAGCTGGACTCAAATGTTTTACAGTTAACATCTAACTATCAATATGGAATGATTTGAGAGATGCCACATAGTTCACACACACACAGAATCATTCACACTTCTATGAATACACAAACTATAGGATACTGGTTTACATTAAATCAATTATATACACTTTAACTATAGTTATTAATGGCTGTGGGGAATAGTGAGTGACCAAAAATCCCCCAAAATCATATTTTGGATTTTTGGGGTGTGTGTGTGTGTGTGTGTGTGAACTGCCTGTTCATGTCCCTTGTCTGTATATTCCCATTTGGGGCACTAGATTTTGCCACCTTTAAAGATACATAATTCAATTTGATTTTCTTCTTTCCTGTCACCTCATTTTGGATCCGTAGAGTCACTTAAATGTAATAATTATTTTGCTTAATCTAACATTAACTCCTTCCCTTATCTGCCCCACACCCTCACATACACAATGTATAGCATCATGTTTTGTTTTACTCACCTAGAATAAGAAATGGTGAATTTGTAACTATGATCAAAAATGGCACCCCAATATACAACATCAGGCCAAAGCCGCTCACCACTGCCAAGGCACAGAAATCACTCCAAAGGCTGCAGCCCACATTTTGTTTTGTACACAGTCACACCTGTAAATTTGGAGGGAAAAATCATGGGATTTTTGGTGGTAGCTTCCATACTGAAATTCCATCAGTTTATAACATTCTTGACTTAGACACCTCTTCATAAAGCCCTTGGGCAATAATTCTCATAATTGTCTAATGGAGACCTTTAATTCCTGGGCACTATCCCAGACCACGTGGGAAAAAGCAGAGAGGGAACAGAAAAGTTGTCTATACTTTTACCAAACTCCCTGGGTGATTCTTCTGTGACTGAGCAAGCACTACTCCACTGACTGGCAGTGCAGAACCACAAAGATATATGAAATCACTTCAGATGGTTTATTCCTCACTGCTCTTCAAGAGGTGTAAATGGAACACAACAGCAAAGAGAGGACAAGCCAAAGCAGAGAGGGTACCCCAAAACCACAACATTACATATTAAAATACTGACAACAATCTCTGCTTTTATATTTCACTTGTTTCTTAACTGCTTTAAAACAAATCACTGATCCTTGTCTCTAGACATTGTTAGGAAGAGAGAGAAACTAAGTTTGGATTGAAAACTAGGAGAGTCAACTATGGAAATGGAAGCGCTGATTCTAATACAGCAAGAACATGACCAAAGACCTTTTACTATAGTAACAGTAAAATAATTAAACTTTCTTATTATGAAAAGATTTTCTACACCATAATCATGGTTCACCTTTTTTCAACCCACTCGTGCTAGGAGTTAAATTCAGGGCCCCAAATCAACCATACATACAAAATTCCAGAGCAAAAGTAAATTGCTTTTGGGGTGCCTGGGTGGCTCAGTCAGTTTGGTGTCTACCCTCAGTTCAGGTCATGATCCTGGGTCCTGGGATTGAGCCCCACATTGGGCTCCCTGCTTTGTGTGGAACTTCCTTCTCCCTTTGACTCTACTCCCTGCTCTGCTCTCTGTCAAATGAATAAATAAAATCTTCAAAAAGTAAATTGCTTTGTTAGAATAAAATTTGATAATGAATACTTTTCAAAAAAATACTGGTTTATAGCAGTTTAAAATATGAAAGTAACAAAGATGAACTTCAAAATCAGAAAGATTAATGAGGATAAATGTTACATATAACACATTTATTTCCATTCCCTCTTTCAAGTTTCTGGGTTTTTTGGTGTAAATTTTTCAGAAGATAGGGAAGTATGACTTTACTTTGATTAGTTGCTGAGTTGACTTTCTCTCAGTGACCTTTATTTTAATGTTCAATAGACAATGGAAAAAAAAGATTTGGAAGTGGAACACTGTATTCCAGTCCCCAAGAAGGATTTTGTTTTAAGCAGTTTGCCAAAATGACCTGGAAGAGTTTTAGAACTTTACAATTCCTGGAATCCAGCCATGCAGATCCTGATTCAGTAGGTATATAGTGAAGCTGCAGAATCTGTATGTCTAAAACTTTCCTCATATGATTCCTGTGCTCAGGTCAATTTGGGGATTACTGGCAACAAAATGGCCAATCTTCTGAAATTTTTATTCACTTAGCAGGGAAGGGCTAAATTAGAAATTATTGCTCTTAGAAAACAACCTGTATGTTTGGCGAGAGATCCACATCTTCCTTGAAATGTCTCCCATGAGTAAACAATAGTTTCCAGTGTATTTGAGAAGAGAAAGATTTTCCAGATTGTTTCAGAAATATTTGGTGTAAGTTTTGTCATTTCCAAAAAGCTAGACAATTTTGAAACAGTCTAGAATCTCAATAGACCACTACTTACTATAGAATGAGGTTCACATTGGAGCATAAATTTGATAAAGTCTTACTATTGTTCATATAACTTCATTATGAAGACAGTAAGTATAAACCTTAAAAATGGGCAGCCCCGGTGGCTCAGTGGTGTAGCACCGCCTTCGGCCCAGGGCCTGATCCTGGAGACCCAGGATTGAGTCCCACATCAGGCTCCTTGCATGGGGCCTGCTTCTCCCTCTGCCTGTGTCTCTCTCTGCCTGTATGTGTGTGTGTGTCTGTCATTAATAAATAAAATCTTAAAAAAATAAACCCTAAAATGTGTTCAAATAAAGGCTCTGTGGGAGGTAAATGAGTGTATGCAAGGAATAACCTTCATCTACAGGTATATGAGACAAGTAGAATGGCCAGTGTCTTTGGGACTGTCTAGGAGGTCCTGCCCAGAAAATAGACAAGAGATTTTCAGTGATAACAGAGAGGTAGGTAGGAGTGCGAGATGTCCAAGAAACTTAACACACTCACAGAAGAATCATTTTTATTTTTGAGCCCAGAGAAGGCACACATTGAACCATCATGGCAGCATCTGTGCCTTAAGAAATTTCCTGCTCCCTTTCCTCTTCTTGGGCATGCTCCAACCCAGAAGTCAGCTTAGCAAGAAGGGAAGTAGGAAGAGAAGTGATAGAAGAGGGCTGGTGAGTCCCTTTTTTTCTCCATGAAGGACTATCCTAAGCAGCATGCTCCAGCTAAGAGTGCTGGGGCAGGGGTTGGGGCGGGGGGGAAGGAGGTGGGGGAGGGAATCCTTAGCTTCAAATCTAGCTATCACTCTTGTTTATTACATGGACATGGATATGGACATTTTAATTCTGACTGGAGGATTTAGTCTTACCTAAGAATGATCACAAAAGTCACAAGGCCTACCTGAGTTTTCATGGGGTAGAGGAAGAGCTTGCTTTACCTACAAGACTCAACAGGAACAAAGGGAGACAAAAATAAAGTTGCTTTATGCTTATACCTCATGAGTTCTAGTGTTCAGTATGTTGGTGAGATAAACATAAAGCCTTCAAAGACAAAGAAATATAAATCATTTTATAATTGCCTTCGGTACAAGATTTTCTGTATTACTGTCCATAATCACATGTAAAGATAAGTAGGAATTGATAGAAATTTGTATCTTCAGAACCAAGTAGCTAGTAGAAAAGTTTTGACAAACGAGTTGTTGGTGCCTTATAGATTCCATGCTAGGTTAACTTTATTTTTTGCTCTACTGACTTTAACAAGATTAAGTTTTGTCTTTTCCCCTCCTCATAGTTCTTTCCTCCCTCCCTGCCTCCTTCCCTCCTGCCCTTACTTCTAGTTTTTTAGATTGTTTGTTTTCTACAGGATGTGGGCTTTTCTTCCAGAAAAACAAAGTTGTGAGGTAGTTTATTGACTCTAAAGAGGTACCCATTGTGTTTAACTCCCTTCACCTACCAAAGCCTCATTTTTCTCTTAAAATCTAGAGTTGAATGACATCATTTCTTCCTAAACCAACCTACACATGATAATGAACTAGAGAAGTTTTTGAAATGTTAATTTTCAAATTAAACCCCCAGAGACTTGATTCAATAGGTCAGAGCCTTGGAATATGTGGGTTTAGAGTGACTTTCCTGTGAGAATCACTGGAGTGATACAATCTGTGGGGCTCTTTCTACACCTAAATTCTTTTCTTTGCTTATATTTTTCATATTCTAGCTTTCTGATCACAAGAACCCAAACTAACCCTAATGCTTAGATAACAATTTTTAAGTGCTTGCAAGGTAAACCCCACTCCAGAACAATGGAGATACTTAAATAAATTACAGATTAATTTTTTATATAGTTAAAAGTACCACCAGTTCAAACCTATAATAGAAATAAGGACTTCTTGCTTAGTTCTATCTCAAAATCTGCCCCCAAATGGGGTAACTAGTCATAATTGGCACATGTAAGGTAAAAAAAAATATGCCAAATCAAACAAAACTGGCCACAATTTCTCTATTTCTTTTTGCTATTCTATCTGATTGCACACTATTGCTAATGGGGAAAAAAGTTAAAAAAAATAAGAGTTTAGTGCTGGACATCAACAAAACTTAGAGTAGAAATTTCCCAAGTCTCATCACCCTGCCCCACCCCCAGAAATATAGAAAAGCAAGCCTGTATTTTTCAGAATTCTGTGAACTCTGGAAAATAGTGAAAAGCTTACCACAGCTAAGCAAGTGTCAAATAAAAGAAATGGTGGTGGGGGAGCACTTCAACATAGTAAGAAGGTTTTATAGTGATTTTACATGCCCGTCTCTCTCTCCGTCTCCATTGTGGTAGAAGTCTTAAAGTGGTAGCCACCATAGCTTGGCAAGTGTGTTAAAGTGGCCACAGTCTCAAGGTGGCAATAGCATTGAAGCAGCAGCAGTCTTAAAGTGGTAACAACTCAAGTTACCAGTATGGAACCAATGGCATGTTTCTGGAGGAAGCAGAAAAAAATCGTATTCCTAAAATATTTTGTATGTCTGTTCTAACATATTTGGAGGCTACTTGAAGGACTGATGCAAAAACACTCCTCTATTTTGTGGAATGCTTAGGTTGAGAAACCTAGAAATACCACAAGTTGAATGAACAAACCTCATGTTATAGAGTAAAGAAATTACAGTTCAAAAATACAAAAGACTGCCTATGACTAAAGATGAGTAACATTTCTCTGGTCATTTAGGATATCCAAAAGCACTCAAATATACTGGGGAATTCAGAAAGGGAAAGGGAATGGTGTATGCTCAGAAAAAATCTGGGACGATCCTAGGCTTTCACCTGCGACTGATTCTGAGGCACACTGTAAGCCTTGCTAAGTGTTGAAGGAGGGTCCAGGCACAGAAACACTTTGCAAAAATTGGGAGAACTCCTGGCATCCAGGGAAATCTGTGTCAAGACACTAGCTAAATACGAGCTAAGGTACAGAAATACCAGTGACTTCAAAAACAAGAATTACAGTCTTTGTGATAATAGTTTGGGAAAATCACTAAGAAAATGGATTATTACAGGGCATCCCAGGTGGCTCAGTGGTTTAGCGCCGCCTTCGGCCCAGGGTCTGATCCTGGAGACCCGAGATCGAGTCCCACGTCAGGCTCCCTGTGTGGAGCCTGCTTCTCCCTCTGCCTGTGTATCTGCCTCTCTCTCTGTGTGTCTCTCATGAATGAATAAAATATTTTTTTAAAAAAGAAAATGGATTATTACAGCCTTAAATAAACACTGGAAAACAACAGAAAACTCTAAGGAAAGGGGAATCTAATTTCTAGTTACTACATTATG